AAATTTTACCAAGTTGCTCCACCCTTCTAATTGTATAATTATATAAAAAAATAATAATAAAAATTATAAAATAAAAAAATTATTTAATATAACATCAAAAAATACTTTTTTTATAAATTAATAATATGTAAAGTACAAAATAAGATTTAATACCAAAATAAAATTTTATATAATAAAATATTAAAAAACTATAATAGAAATAGTAATTCTTTAAATAAATATCAGTATAATTATAATATTACTTTATTCTTCAATTAAAACTAGTAGTATTTGCAAAATATAAACATGAACAATATAAACCAATAAACATAGATATTTATAAAATATGTTTATATTGTTTATACTGTATTTTTTTTATTAGACATAGGTACTTAGTCCAAATACAAATCGAATGCTTACTACGTATTCCGGAATATTTCCATCATATTTCCATATTTTCTACAAAAATTCTACAAATTTGCAACATGACTGGCTACGGCAATAATTTCCATTATTTTGAAAGTATAAATTCCATAAATATGCAACATTTATGGATAAAACAAAATCCGAATTAATTTTTTTATAGGGATTTCAAATAGGAAGTTATTACCGTATTGTCGCGCAGGGGTGAAATTACGAATTTCGGGCTAAATTAAGTTTAATTCGGGCCATTATTCTAAATAACGCCCATGCGACAATACGGGTAAAAACGTAAAATACGGACAAGGGCGAGACCAAAACTAGAGTAAAATTCTGAAACATTTCAGTAAAGAAGACATGAGTGAATCATAAATTGATCACCTTTATTTCATGCAGGATATTGAGGAAATCCGTCACTACACCAGAATGCTTTTTTATAAACATTTAATCAATAAACAAAATATAGACATGGATACTATTTAGATTAGTCCATGTTCATGTCCAAATAAAAGGGTTATTGTACATAGCCCAAATGCCAACACTGGGTTCTAACGGCTTGCATTTAGGGAGTCTAACTAGATTTTTAAAATAATACTGTATATATATATACATATTTATAATATTGATATATTTACGGTAAAATACGTAAAAAAAATGAAAATCAGATTCCGACAATTCCCAGGTTATCAAACATACAAAAAATCCGTAATAATAATTTTAATAATTTTAGTAAAATCTGATAAAATCCGGATAAAAATTAAATTCTGATGATACACGGCTTCTAATTTTAAATTACTTAGAAACGGATCAAGATTTGACGGAAGCAATCAGGATATTGGTTTCAGAAAATATGAGCATTTTTTTCGGAACGATAACTTTGGGAGAACCGGGTATGTTTTTCAAAAAATTTTTTATGGAGTATTAATTAATTAGGTATCAATTAATGGATTTTTTTTTTTGATACAGTATCTTTAAGGATAAATTATTACAAAAAAAAATTTTTTTTTCGAAATTTTAAATGAATTAGTTAAATATAAATATTGAGCTTTTTTTAACGAAGCTAAACAAAAAAATGAATCTTTAAAATAGATAAACCCGTGTAAAAATTATAAAAATATATCAATATATGTCTATAAATCAGTATATATGAATTAACATTTTTGAATATTATACGTACGTATGTATCAAATAAGGTTTTAAGAAAAACCAACGCCAATTTTTATTTAACGATGCATTATTATGATAAGAAAAAGCTTTATTTAACGATGCATTATTATTTACGTGGGGGTTGAAAAAAAAATTTTGATCGACTACCGCCACGTATAAGTTTTGCTAGCATACGTAATTGTTGTTAAATTGGTCAAATCGAACTGCAAAATGGTTGATACTAATTAAACAAGTTCAAGTTACACAAGCATTGACTGGTCAAAGAATTATTATGAACTACAGAAACGGGCATGAAGGTTTTAGGTTCATAATAATATTATAATAATATTATAACTTAAGCCAAGTTTGAAATAAATAAAATTCTAATGCATGTATCAGTCTCAAACATTCAAAAACTTCAAGCATTACATGAATTAATCATAAATGGATCCGTTTACGTAGAAGAATTGAATAGATAATTATGTATACAATTTATCGAAATCAAATATTGTTAAATGGTATAATAATACGTATAACTTCACACCAAGTTGTTTCGAAGTGGAATGTATGTGTTTTCTTTAATGTTAGCATTGTTCGACTAGACCACAAAAAATTCGAAAAAAATTCGAAATGATTACAAAATAAATTGAAGTACGTAGTACTTAAATTTAAGGAAATGTTTACGTTGTGTACAACCGTAACTCAGTTTACGTACGTAAGTACGCATAGAGATAACATTCGGACCATTAGCAAAATTTCACCTTATTGGGAGGCTAATGAATTCAATATATATGTATATATTGATTTTAAGTTTATCATTCATTATACATATCGTATCATATCGTATTGTATATTGAAAATTGAATTGCATTACGTATCATAATAAATTTAAAAATTAATACGTAGCAATAGGATTTGTTCATCTCGCTAATCTGTAATCATATGGCGGATAATCAAGGAAATTCAGGATTCCCGGTATTTATTACATCTATAGGAGAATCATTTAAACCAAATTCAAAAAGTTATCGAACCAGTCATTTTAATATACGTTACATTCAACAAATTCTAAATACAGAAATTTACTTTTTAATTCTGGATACGGTACGTACGTACAGTACGTACTTATTTTATGTATGTATCTGGTATGTATGTATTCAAAATATAAACTTTTCTTTTAATGCGCTTTAAAGACGGAAAACTGATATTAATAAATAGAATTGAAAATCGATTAATCGAATACGTACGCTTTTAACCAATTAAATTCAATGTAATTAAATAATACAATCACGTGATAAAGAGGGTCATGGTGAATTTTTAGGGTAAAAATTGAAAGAACGTATCATTATATCATTTAATAAATTCTGATAAAAATAACATATCCATTAAAAACCTTTAAATGTATATATATATATACATATATAAAAAAGATCGACTTTTTCTAATGTTAAATATATATATATTAAAAAAGTAATCGGAGTTATGCAAACGTCAGCAACCTATTGCAGATTTGTACATATAATGATGTATAACAGATAATGATTTCCTCAACAAATAAACGTTTATAATTTCCGAAGCTTTTCCGATTATATACTCGTCGTTTTTTTTTAAACAACTTTAACAACGTGTTTAAGATCCCAAGGGGACTTCAAAGGCGTTATTATATTACTTGTCTTGTACGGATAAATTATAAATTAGGAAGAGTGATTATTACATTTATTATTACATATATATATAATTTTCATTATAAAATTCAACAATTATAATTTCCGAAACTTTTCCGTTTAACAACTGGTTTAAGTAAGGCTTTAACGATCATTAACGATCATTATATAACGACTCCTTGTACGTCTTGTTCAGATAAATTAGGAAGAACGATTGCTAGATATGTTTTTATTCACTATTACATAATATTACGTCATTGCTCTGAGCCAGGAATTTAACACTTTCTCTACATTGTTATTTCAAAAACACCTTTGCCCATCCTAATTGATCCTAATTGATTACACAATATGTACCCTAATTCAAAACTCGAGAACTCGGTACGTAAAAAGAACATTAAAGTATAACACGTGATAAGATCTCAATATAATACACGATACGTATATACAAGTATATAAAGTTATATTTATTAATGATAAAACTGTACAGAAGTTTGTTTGCTTAATATTACTTAAAGTAATCTAAAACATACGTATAAATGATAATATCGTTCACTAATAGTAAAGTCACTAATAGTAAAGAAAATATCGTAGTAAAAAGAATGATTGCGTAACTCGTTGGGGGAGGGGGGTTTTAATCAAGAGTTACATAAATTAGTATTTCAATTCTGTCAAAAGACAAAAAAGAAAGAATAAAATTAATTGGAAAAAAATCTATTTATTATAATGAAGGATTTCTTTTTTTTTTTTTTTTTTTTTTTTTTTTTTTGTTTTAGGGTGTCATAAGCTAAATTACATCGCACATATTAAATGTGCAGAAAAAAATTACAATATTACTTTTTAACAGAATTATTTTGATTATTTTGAATCTCTTTCAAATAATCTGGTGGAACATGGTTATGCTTTTTCGTTAGACTACAAGATCCAGCACAACATTCAATCATTTGGAACCATGTATCCTTCTCTATTCGTTCGATAGTGATACGTTTTTTTGCGTCAGGTTCTAAAATTTTATACATTAACTCCCGACAACCTGAAGGAAGTTTTTCGAAAGGTTCATATAAACCAAGGTTTTTCGTTTCTAGGTAGTTTGTGTAATTTGGATCTGATGGAGTTGCCATCCTAAATGGAATTCCTTGATATATCATGCAGTAATATACAATACCACATGCCCAAACGTCAACAAGTCGAGCATCATATTCTTTTGTTTCAAATTGCTCCTATAAAAAAAATATAAAATTAAAAAATTTAAAATGAATATAAGAATGAACGTAAATATAAAAATGAATATAAGTAATAATAAAAAGGTTAGTTAAATTTACCGGAGCAATATATGGCTCAGAACCACAAAGACCTTTGGACATATGTGCAGCTTCTTCCCAACATGTTCTAAAAACGTCTGATACACCAAAATCAGTGATTTTCAAATGACCATTTTCATCAAGCAATAAGTTTTCTGGTTTTATATCTCTAATAGTTACAGAAAAGAAAAGGATTAATATTAATAAATGACATATAATATAAAAGCTAATAAACAATTAAGTTGATAAAAGTTGATAAAGTTAATAAAGGCGAAAATGCATACCTATGAGCAACACCCATAGAATGAAGATAACCAACACCTCTAATAAGTTGTTTAAAACAACAATCTATCTCAGTAGTTGCCATGTGGCCAGATTTTATAGCAGTGTAAAGATCACCACCAGCACAATATTCCTAAATTACAAAAAAGTAATTATCAGATAATTGTATAAAAGAAAAAGAAATCTGACGACATATATATATATATATATATTACGAACCATAACTTCACACCAATTATGATTTTCATCTTGAACCAAATCTACTGTTCTGACAACGTTAACATGTTGTAATGTAGAACTTATACAAAATTCGCTAGTTAATTTTTTTACATAATCTTTTTCAGATTCATTCTTTCTTCTTTTTCTAAACTCCTATATAAGCATTATCAAAAAGTTATTAGATATTATTAAATACTATCAATTAATTATTAATAAATGTTAATAATGATGATAATAATTACCTTGACAGCATAAGTTTTTTCGCAATCCGACTGATCAAATTTGTGAGCAAGACGAACGACGGCAGTAGCACCTTTACCGATACAACCCTTATCACACACCCCGTATTTTTTTATTAACATGGATTCAGTATCAGTCGCTTTACCACTGTCGCTACCACTACCCGAATCACTACGTTGAGATTGTTTTTCATCAAGTTCCAATTTGGGATTAAGAATTTCTTTCAACATTGTTCTGCCATCGGGAGTGACATTGAAATTAAATTCTTCTTTTTCTTGTTCAGGTGAACCAAGAGGAGATGCCACAGGAGATTTTGATTCATGGATCAAAAGTTTTTGGATACTCCGAACAAAAGTGATCTTTTTTGGTTCGGTAGAACCATTTATGGAAGTGCCATTTGAAGAATTTCCATTTAAAGTAATTCCATTTTCACACAAAGGTTCGCTGGATTTATTAGCCTCATCAACAGAAGGAGTGTTATCAGTAGAATTGGTTGAAAGGGAAGTAGTAGAAATATCTTCAGACTCGTTTATGGGTTTTACAAACACTGCTTGAAGTGGATTGGTGAGATTGTTGGGGCTAACAACAGGTAAACTAAGATTTCTCTTTGGTGCTCTCGTTTTACGTTCTTTGGCAACGTGTAGAATCTCCTTTGCTTCAGATTCAGTCACACGACGACGAGCTTTACTATCTAAAGCCGGAGCCCAGTAATCGGTTGTAAAGGTAACCATGCTAAATAGATGCTGTCAGAAGATCACAAAGAAGGATCGGAATTATCGAAAGAAAGTTTTTCTTCCCGCTAACAGTATATAAATTTATTTGAAAGGTATATATATTAAGGAAGGAAATAGATTCGGTTTATAAAGTGTATTTATAAATCACTGGAAGAAAATTAACTATTCCGATATCCTCAAATATTGGAATTAAATATTAGATTAAATACATTAATTACAAAACGGGAGTCTAGATTGAACGTGGTCTATTATTTTTTATTTTTTTTTTTTTGTTTTTTTTTGTTTTTAAAAAAAAAAAAAGAGTAATAAATTAGACCGTTTATATACGTGTCAGAGATATAAGTAGATCAAATAATCAAATAATCAAATAATCAAATAGTTATCAGTAATAAATCGGGAAGTAAAATCATCATAAATTGATTTACCGCACAGATGCAGTTTTAATTATATATATATTTTTTGATATTGTTATCAAGATTTTGATTGCATAATAAAACAAAAACCACCTTTTTTTTTTTTTTTTCTACAAGGAAAAACAGAAAAAACTGGAACAATTACTCAAATAATTTATTTTTAAGGATGAGGCGAGATGGAAAATGTAGGAAAAAAAAAATTGTATTTTATTCTATTTTTATTTTTTTTCATATATATGTAAAAAAAACTAACGATATATTTTTAGTGGTATTAGTACGTATTAGCGTAATTTTTTGTATTTTTTTTTTTTATCTAGCAAACGGATGTTCTCGTGTTAATAATCAATCATGTGGATGTTTTATTAAATTTATTGAACGCGGGGCTGGGCTGGACGTCAAGGACGACGTTTAAGCCAGGTATGGGTTGTCAAACGTTGTAAGAGTTAGCGCAACATCAAGACTGACAAATCAAAGGATCATGTTTAGCACAAAGAAATGAAAATTTCCATAAAAAACAAGAATATGGCAGAAAGCAGAGTACAAGACGTACCATATACAGCTTATCACCAAAGAATTTATAATCGGGCTTAAAATAATATATCAAGAATGATGTACTTCAAATCAAGAAATTACATTGGTTGCTATTCATATGGACTAGAAAAAGTTTGAAAAAAAAAAAATTTTTTTTTTTATTATTTAATGGTTTAAAAGCGTATCATTGTCTTATGACCTATCTCGTTTGGATATTTGTGTGATCCAGGTTCGCTCACGTGTAACTCTCATGGTACTACATAGCAATATGTAATGTAATATATTTACGATGGTTCATACAGTATTATCAATAATACAGTACCGGTAATAGGCATGAAAAGAGTAATTGCATTACAATATCAAATGACCACTTTTTTTGCATATTAGAAATGTTTGATGCTTTTTTATAATTTTTATATTTTTATAATAACAATAAACAAATCCAATCACAATCGCCTTTATCATGTGATCTTTAGATTTATGTTTCTTGATGTACGTCTATCGCTATTTTGTTTGATAGCATGCATTCGATCAGTTATCAATCAAATACCATATAAATGTATATTAGCATACATATGCTATTCCTATGCCATTCCTATGCCATTCCTATGCCATTCCTATGCTATTCCTATCGTAGTGACCGTTTACACAATCAATGGTAAGGTCTTGTTTACTATAAAAACAAAAAGATTTTAGGTTCTATACCCTAAATTTAACCCTTCAAAGTATTAATCTCGATTGTTTTTTTTCAAAAGTTACGTATGTTAAAAAAAGGCATTCCAATGAATTATAATAATTACATATATATCATTATTAAAGATTCCATAATTTTATTAGATGTACGTATTTATAAATATTTCCAGTAATTAATATGTACCTTATTGGGTCTAGATTGCCAAGATTTCATCAAATGAACGTGGAACTGACCCATCAGATTACAAGGCGATCCATCTCTACTTCTTTGGTTAATGAGTCGCATCTCGGAATACCCCAAATTTGATTACTTATTGAGTATTTTTGAGGCTTTGTTATCTCATATATATATATTCGTTAAATACATAATAAATTCTTTGTCTAAATTTTGTCCTGTTTTATTTTTATAAAAAAAAAAACACTTTCCCTGAAAAATATCCGTTGACTACATAAATGAATATAAATGATGCAACAAAATCCTATAAATAGCTTAAATTTCTTTTAACGTTATCTTTGATCACCAGATTATTTTATTTGTATATATTAAATCATTCTAACCCTTTTCCCTTAACTTTAACTCGGCTTTTACCAACACTACTAAACAAAATTGCTTAATTTTACGTAATTTGTCAAATGTGTTACTCAAATTAAATTTTAATCAAAATATCGATATGTAATAAATATATGTAATATGTTTGATGATTTTTTTTTTTTTTTTTTTGCCAAGCCAATTTTTTTTTTATTATTGCAGGTGATAATATTAGTACATCGACTATCGTTATTATTTAACTTGAAACTCGAAATACTGTACATATGTACTTACGCATGCACGTACGTACGTACGTACTTGAACTGCACCGTGAAATCGTTATATTCCAAAAATAATGGTTTAATTAATAAACTTTTAAAGATTTGATAAATGATAATTCGTATGTTACATATGTTACTCTAGATTGTTAAGATTAAACAAATATTTATTTGTATTTTTTCAAATAAACTTTATACAATTTCTTGACCTCACAAAATTACCTTATGATTGGTTAATTATGAATTTGGTTTTAGTAAAAAATGGTTTACATCCGTACGTACGTGTACGTACGTATTATTGTGTCGTCGTATTACTGTATCATTATAAATAACAACTAACAGAATTTAATAACCGGCTACGTACGTACAGAAAATGCTTGCTCTGATGCACTGAAGCACACTGGTAAATAATATGGTCACTTGTAATTGAAGTACGTAGGGTATTCCGCCACCATACTAATGGTTCGAATTATTCTCCAATGGTATTACTAAATATTTTTCTAGTTCATTTCGTAGATTAATTTGCTGGTAATGTGGTAATGTAGTAATGTAGTAATGTAAAAAAATAAGAAGAAACACTAAAGGTAATAGAATTAGATACGATAGAATGAATAAAAGGAGTAGATATCTTTCTAGTTTATTTCGTAGATTAATTTACTGGTAATGTGGTAATGTAAAAAGAAGAAGCATTAAAGGTAATAGAATTAGATACGATAGAATGAATGAAAGGAGTAGATAAATGGTTTGGGTAGAAAAAATAGAAATATGTGGGAAATTGTTTTTTTTTTAACTAAGACAATCTATCTTCGTGCCTTGAGTAGGTTTGCTTAGCATAAAATTTTATTTAATATCGATATACAATATATACACATCTAAAAACCATTGTACTCAGTGTTCGAAATTAGTAGTCTCATGAGAACGCTGTTATGAATTTGTGCATAATATAATTTTTTACTGTTTACTATTAATTTTTTGTTAACAGCAAAATAATAAGTGTTTAAGTCTATAATATGTATTTTTTTAATACGTTTCTGTGAATCTCATTTTCTTAATAATAAAGGTTGGTTCAATTTATAGCCTGATTTAGAGTTAGCGTTAGTTGGAACTTAAAGTTAGTAAATAACTATAAAATAAGCTTTTTAATAGTTTTTTATTCTTGTAAACATAAACAATATTTTGAAAATATTTATAGTTAATATAATATTTTTATTAAAAAAATTAAACAGTATTCTTATTTTTTTTGTTTTATTTTTTTTTAAATCTTAAGGTGAGGTTATACCTCTAACTTTATTGAAACTCAATTGAATTTCTTAACAAAAAATTTACAAAAAAAAACCTACATCTAAACTTCATATCCAAAGGATGTCAAGAATAGAGACTTAGACAAAATTTTCTGCAGCCTAAATCTACTAGGATGGTTAAAGTTCATCTAGATTTCAGGGTTTAGAATTAAATAAAAAGGCTTAATTTGATATTTAATTCATTTTGGATATCAAGTTTTTAGTTTAATACTAGCAATAGAAAAATGTAATAGTTAAGATTAAGATATAACGAAAGCTAAAGAGAATAATAGAGTAAGAAAAATAATAAAAGCTTGTGATCTAGAAATATAGTAAGGTAATCAAATATTAGTATAAATTTGTTGATTAAAATGTAATAAAAATTTACTAGTAAATTAAGTTGTAATTTTGTTAAATAAAGTAATATCTTTAAGTAATAAAATAATATTAAGAGAAGATTAAATATAGCATAGCTTACTCCTTAATAAAATCTTTAAAAATTTTTAAATTAATTACTATATATAGTCAACCCCTTTATAATCACCTCCTCTATAGTCACAAAATTGGTATAATTACTATTTTTTTTTTTTTTCACTTAGACAAAATTGCACCAGTGATCTATGTTTATTCAAATCAATCTCATAGAAGATTTTAAGCTAATAAAACTCTAGCTCTGACATTTTACAACTACTGCAACATAATCAAATGCTACCCAAGCACCTATAACTGACTTGCTGTACTGACAAAATATAATCAATAAGATAATATCCTAACTGAAAGGCTTGTCCAGCTACCACTTTACAATAGGATACCATCAATCTGATGGCATCTTCTTGTAGAGAAGTGAAAGAAAAAGAAAAAACTTTTAAAACAACACAGAGGTATAGAAAATAATGTTAAAAAAAGATACAAACAAGAAAAGAAAGGGGAAGACAAAAAAACTTAACTAAATATAGAATTTTTCACCCACACTAAACAATCACAATTATAAGTTTGTGTCAAGCTCTATAAAAATTACATACTACTATTTAAACTAGTCTCTATTTTAATTTATATATATAGTATATCTAAAATAAAAAAACCTTTGCAACAAGATAAAAAAAATAGCTTCTTCAACATCAGCACTATAAAGAGGTTAGAAAGGTCAAAATTTTACAACAGAGGTTTCAAGTCATTGTTTGTCCAGATTGTCTAGGTTGTCACATTCGAGGCACGTAATCTACATATTCAGTTCCATATATATTCACGTGTTTGTTGTGACAAATAAAAAGTA